TGAGATGGGGAAACAATGGCCGGTGCTCATTAATAAAAATCTTTTAAAACGGTTTCTAGCGTTTGCTAAAATTGTTTACTGTCTCTCTGTTCATATTAAATTGATCTTTGAATAATGGATAAGTATGCAGTTTTTGTGATTCATTCGCAAATGCCTTTTTTTTTTTTTTTTTAATAATATTTTAAGTTGCAGTTGGCCGTCGTTTGGCTCATTGCTTGTATCGAAGGATGAAAACTTTTTTGCAACTTTACAGGAGAGATATTTAAAGTTTAAAATTAGGAAAAAATATAACATAACAGAAAAAGTTCTTCAGCTGTTTGAATGAAATATCCTTAATTGAAAATCTTTTTTTTTAATGCCTTTGTAGGCAGACGAGCATATGGTACACCTGATGGTAAGTGGTTACGGTCGCTCATAGACATCAGCAATGCCAGGGGCACAGCCAAGTCACTGCTTATTACATATATACATATAGTCTATTAAATACATCTAACTATTGATGCTAATACCAATAAATAGCACCTTTAAATGCAAAGATAAATGTCGCTTAAACCAAATAGCTTACCACTCGATATCTACTCTGAAGAATACTCATAGTTATCCTTATTTTAATGCTTTCATATTATTTATGAACATTTTTTAAGGATTACTGGTGACCCCGAGGCCTTTCCAGTTTCATCAGGGCAGGTGGGCGAGCAAAAGCTCAGCCAGGAGGGGTGGGATTAGCTAGCAGCTGCCCGAGCGCTTCCAAAGGAGACCTAACAACTCAAAAGCAACTGCTTCGCGAATGAATCTACTACTGGATCGGAATCGTGACCCGCTGAGAAGATCCGGCGAGAAACTCAGCGGGCTGATGCATGGGTTAGGTTGCACGTCGAACTCTTTGTCGAGTTCGACGAGTACGGTTACCGGGGTCTCTAAGCCTGCTCCTAGTGTTAGAGCTGAATGCGTCTAATGCAAGGGTTATTGGATCTGATGGATCCGTAAGGACGTGTATTTATGAACATACACCTGCCATGCTGTAATAAACAATGACAGGAACAGATTAAAACTGAAAATAATATGAATGACACTTCCACGATGCTTTTTTTATTGCTTAGGTGGGTGGACGAGCTCACAGCCCACCTGGTTTTAAGTGGTTACTGGAGCCCATAGATATCTACAACGTAAATGCGCTACCCACCTTGAGATATAAGTTCTAAGGTCTCAGTATAGTTACAACGGCTACCCCAACCTTCAAACCGAAACGCATTACTGCTTCACGGCAGAAATATTCAGGGTTGTGGTACCTACCCGCGCGGACTCACAATAGGTCCTACCACCGGTAATTACGCAAATTGTAATTTTGCGGGTTTGATTTTTGTTGAGGCCACCTTCTAGAATTTGTGAACGAGTGCTACTGTAAGAAGATACTCTGTAGACTTTTCAATCTTTTTATTACACCCCTAGGTATTACACCCCAAATATCTTACTCGTGAGATCCTACCTTATTTCAGTTTTTAATTAAAACGACGGTAGAGTTTTCTGCTGCGTGCGTTCCCATCTGAAGGATAGGATAGTCCATTACCAAGGCGACTTACATTCGTCTCGAAATGATCGGCGGCATTCATGATGCTATTTGCGTGTGCTCCTGTAACTACTTAATCTAGTGAGCCGCGAATGGGTCTGTCCGTCTAAGGCAATAAACATATGAACAAATTTATCATAGGACACTTGAAAAAAAAAAACTCAAGTAGATCTTTTTAGGCACTTTCAAATCGACATAACTCGTCCCACCGATTCGGAATGGTTCACAATTAAGAACAAACGGCAATAAACTCAAGGTATAATGAATGTTTTGTCTAGCTTCGATTATAATTTGCGTAATTACTGGTGGTAGGACCACTTGTGAGTCCGCGCGGGTAGGTACCACCACCCTGCCTATTTCTGCCGTGAAGCAGTAATGCGTTTCGGTTTGAAGGGTGGGGCAGCCGTTGTAACTATACTGAGACCTTAGAACTTATATCTTAAGTTGGGTGGCGCATTTACGTTGTACATGTCTATGGGTATATTTTTTTCACTATCATCGATCGATGGATAGATACACCATCTGGGCCTGTGCGGTTAGCGGAACACGCACATAGATGTTTACTAAAAAACGAATTTGAATCTTAATGACATATATAATAAAGACGAATTTTGGTCTTCAGAAAGGTACACCTGATACTTCAGTGCAGAAATAGGCATCCTGGACCGAAGGCCGCCGATTATTCTCGTCACTAATTCATATCCATAGAGAGATTTTTTGTGATTTAATAGGCATTTTCTAAATACGATACAATCAGATAGGTACGGGTATACGGTGCGAGCCACTTCAAGCTATTAGTTCTTCCTCGTCCGTTTGTACTAACAGTTGTAAACTTATCTATCTATCTATCTATATATATAAAATATAAAAATGAATAGTTGCTCGTTAGTCTCGCTAAAACTCGAGAGCGGCTGGACCGATTTGGCAAATTTTGGTCTTGAATTATTTGTTGAAGTCCAGAGAAGGTTTAAAAGGTTGATAAATAGAAAATTTTGTTTTCCTTTGATGTCCCCCCTATCGGATGGATTTCTTTTGTTTGTTTAAAGTTTATTTTATACAAAACTGTAGGTCTTTTATTTATCGATTGAGGCACTACGAAGTCTGCCGGGTCAGCTAGTTATTCAATAAAACTTCCACTAATTTTCACTTATTGAAACTCTTTTTTTCGGTCCACTAAAGTGCATGTACAAGTGCGCACAAAACTCAAATGGGTCTATTAAAATTAAAAGTTATTTAAGCTAACACCTGTATCTACTCTAAATGAATTATGTTGATAGATTTATATCCGAAGAAGAAAGTACTCAAGTGTTTCGCTACGAATTTGACTTTAAGCTCGTTTTAATTAGGCCATTTTCATGAATAGGAGCCGCTATTAGTAATAATCAAGTTCGTTACATTTTATTTATAATGTCATAAGTGCAATAGAATATAAATTGAGACATATTATTATCGTAATACTTGTAATGAATCCGCACGGGTAGGTACCACTACCCTGCCCATTTCTCGCGTGAAGCAGTAATGCGTTTCGGTTTGAAGAGTGGGGCAGCCGTTGTAACTTACTGAGACCTTAGAACTTATATCTCAAGGTGGGTGGCGCATTTACGTTGCAGATGTCTATGGGCTCCAGTAACCACTTAACACCAGGTGGGCTGTAAGCTCGTCCACCCATCTAAGCAATAAAAAAAATCTAATAGTAGAAGAAAGATCTGTTAGATATTATTATGTATCCCAATTTTATTATATAGGAAAATACCTATAAATACTTCGAGGTCTTATATCAATACAGATCTACTGTAGGTGTTATGGCTAAGACAGGCCATGACTCTCAATCAACGCTGATAAATAGGATAAATCGGAGGTAGGAAGGTGGAGTTATTCGCTATATCGAATATAGAGTCTTCATTCTTCGATTTCAGTAGAATCAAAAATAATTATACAAACTATTGACGGGATTTTGATAATTAAACTTTAACAAATAATATCCTAGTCGACCGTGACCTCGAAAAATGAGTTATTTGAATAAACTAAAAAGGTGTTTATAACATCATAATGTGGGATAAAAATTATTAATTTTATTTATTACTTTATTAGCAAAAGTGTCTAAAGAAATAAAGAAAAAGTTAGCCATACGTTTGTAAAAAACGAACGTGTTAAAACAAATGGTCATTCCGGCTCTTACATTATTAATATTTGTTTATCGGATTTCATTTTATGAACTTCGTCGGTGAACGTTTTTTTTTCTTCATTTTTATTGTTTTAGCGTGACTGACTTGGTTCTTATCAATTGAATTCTTCTCACTCTTTGCTGAACCTTAACAACTTAAAACACCTTTAACGTTTCCACAATTATTTCAGAAATTAGCAGTACCGAGGTACTAAATCCATAAATACAATATCAACGGTTACAGCAAACTAAGTTGATAATTAGCTGATAAATCTATTTTTTAGTTAGTAATATATTATATTAAGTTCTTTTTTTGCAATATTAAAAAAAAATACGAACACTTTTTCACAGGACTGTCTTTTTTGCGGAGTCTGAAATTTCGAAAAATGTGTCCATTCATTTCTTGATTTCAGTTTGCTTAATTTTTTTACAGAACAATAAAATAGTATAATTCTGAAGCATCTAAATAGCGGTAGATTTCGTCTGCCTATTTATGTAACAAAATGAAATATTTTTGAACGTCAACTTTTAAAAGTCAGCGGTCTATTCCGTCATTGTCCCTTAAAAAATACTCATCAACTGTCCGAGAATGTATGAAAGCGGCCACTCCATTCATTTTCCCTTCGGACGAATGGTGACCACCTCGTAATGTCAATGTTGACGTAAGACGGGGTAATAAGTAGCTCGTCGTTGTATGAATAGACTCTCAGATGGGATGACGTCGAATGTGTGTCTGCGAGTTTTTTTTTTCTTCTAAATCTGGCGTTCGAATACTTTTTAAATTTGTACCGAGAAAAACATTTTTCTTTACGTTTTTTTTTATTAAAAATAGTAAAATGTATAACATATATTACGTTCTATTTAGTTTCTAATTTATTAAGTAATCTAGAAATAAAAAGTGCAGTGGAGTGAATTTTGATTCACGTCTAACCTCCATAGCAGAGAAATTTATCAGGTCACCGTTAGATAAACAAGGATCATGAAAGAGTAAAGATAAATAATTTTTGAAATTATGTACAAAGCGTTTCACATTGAAACATATTTAAATAAATTAGATGCACATCAAGATGTTTGTTTTTGGTTATTTATTTTTGAATTGCGATTCCTTGAACAAATAAAAAATATTTCTACCCTAACCTACGGTTCGTCCGTATTATTTAAAAATGTTCGAAAACATAAATTAACACTATCACACAATGATTGACGTGTTTTATTCGGTATCGCTAAAGACAATTTTCGTACAAAAATAAATCATTATCGGGGCCTTACCTTGCGCGATGCGTACAGCTGGCATTTTGATTCTCATCTTGATTTGGTCACCTATTTTTAGATCTTCGACAACTTGTTTTATCCTTAGAAACAATTTATCTTAATATGTCTCTATCAGAAGACAGTTCGTTAAACTTCACATGTGCCGCCGCCGGTCCAGCGGTTTATCGTGTTCATAAAACGTTTCTGATAACGGAGGTCGACTTATCACAAATCCTCCTACGAGTGTCCGACGGTGTTTTAGAGCGCTCACTCATTTTCTTAAAGTACTCATCGTACGGAAAAACAAACAGTACTTAAGTTACTTTTTCCTTTTCATGTTGCGGCAAATCAGTTCACACGTTAGTTGAATGTTTCGCGTAAATCGACTGGTCATAAATAGGGCCTTATCAACACTTGAATGAGCGTCTCAGTGCACTATCTAATCTATCCGCGCCTAGTGGCGATCCTGCGATTCGGCAAACGGCTCGCTTGGTCACACTCCATTTACTAACATCTGTTTAAACTTCTTCACTTGAAATAACAAATTTTCAGTCACTGTCCGTCGTCGAAATTTCTATAGTCGATATTCGAAATAATAAAATAAATTTACGAACGTTGTTAATGTATTAAAATAAAATGGTTTTTATGCAAATATACGTGAATATTTCGTAATGTTTACGAGAGCGATCGCGATCGTATATGTGTCGCGTGCGGTGCGAGGCAGGTGCGAGGCCAGCCGCCCGCTCTCGCCCGGTGTCCGAGAGCGTCTGTCCTGTGTCCCTTCACGCGAGGGCTCCACGGCCTCCGCGTGTCCACGACTAGCGCCGTCTCGCTCCGCCGGCCGACGATGCCGCGTGCGAGTCCATACGAAGTAGCCAGGGGTTACTCTCGGTCGCCGCCGTCTCGGCTGTTCGACAGAGACGGCTGCCGCCGACGCCGATCAGCTCACACATGCTCCCGAAAGAGACGGCTACAAATCACAAGTGCCGTGCGTTGGTGTGCGTGCGCGGGTGGGGCGAAGATGCAACGCGTACAAAAGAAAAAGGGATAATATTTGCTTGCATATTTCATGACTCGATTAGAAGATGGAATTTTTAATTGAAGGGACGGTAAGCGCGGTCAGTGTACAGTTTCAGGGCGTGCTTATATTTAAAGCTCCGAAACTTGAGTGCTCGTTTGAAGTTGTGAGGTACTTTTATTGTGAGGCTTAACTTTTAAGAGCCTGAACGATAAAACAGTAAATACGTAAAGTATGATTTTAAAAGTAAAATTTTGCGTATGTCCAAAATTTTATTAGGATGTCCAAAGTAAATTCAGCAAATTGAAGAACGATGTATTTAGTCTTACTGCCAATAAATTTCACTAAATTCCATTAAATAAAGTCCATTTTAAGAAATTACACCGCATTATTTTTATTCATTCTAGTTTTTTTGTATAGGCATTATTTTTTAGACAACTTTACCAGACTCTACCTCCGTAGTACTGAGCTACGCATGCTACGCGAGCTAGCAATGTTTTTCCCTAGCAACAAAACATTTGGAAAAATGCATTGATTGCATATTATATTTACGCTCTCATAAGTAACGTCTAAAGCGAATATAATTTACGATTTATAAATCTCATTATGTTATTGTATTCGGGCGTAATATTATTCCGTTTGCCTTCGGAAAAAAAAAAGAAACGTCTTAACAATTGAAGAAAAGAAAAATAACCCTCCTCCAATCACTAAATTAAACGTTAAAAACCCGTCTAATTTGAGTAAAAGCGCAACACGTAGCCAAACTGTCGTTTCCACTGAAAGTTTCCGGCGTTTTTTCTTCAACGTTATTTTACTTAAGACGCCACGAACAACTTATCTCGGTCGGTCCTTGACTTTAATAAGTTTTATGAGTGTCAGTCGAGACTTAACCGGCGCGAGAACGAGCCACGAAAACGAAGTTTTTCATAATTGTTTCCAGACTTTGACGGCGTTCGATTATTGAAAATTTCGAATCTCGGTTCGTTTGATTTTGGAATTGTTTTTTTTTTTTTTTGTTTTGTTTTAAGAATGTCGAGATTGTTTTAGGTTTGTGATTGTGTTTTGTTTGACTGTGTTGTAGAAGAAGTAAATATCTATCAGGGCTATGAGACGTTCAGTTGTTTTGGGTTATTTGCGGCAAAAATTTAAATTTGCGTACGCAATTCCATGCTTTAGAGTATCGCTTGATTAAGGTCTGTTTTTATGGCACTGCGTCATCTGTTTTGCTATTTATTTCGATATTATTAAAGTAATAAATAAAAATAAATTTGACAGGAGAGAAAAATATTTGAAATATTCATTATTTATCTCGTCTTCTAACGCGGAACTGTTTAAATACCGCTTGACCAAACACACCCCCAAAGGCTATTCCAAACTTAGTTAAACTGGTCACTACAGCTGTCCGGCGCGATATAAAATAATACTGTCTCTTTCATATGTATACATGTGGATACTGAAAATTGAGACGACTCAAGGGTTGGGTGTTTTCCTTCGCGGAAACCCGGGAGTAACAGGTTAGATGTACGGCTGTCTCGTTCATATGTGAGAGTGCGTGAGTATGTGGAAAGGGATAGTGGGCGAAGTCGAAATTTGGATTTTCCCGATGCTACTCACCGTTAGGAGGCGCTGAAAATATTTGTGTAAGAACCCCGGGTTAGTTCCTAAGTGGAAACATAACTCAAGTAATTAAGTTCATATTTTAAGGGATAATCAATTTTTTTTTTATTAATCAGCTAAGGGATAGTTACGAAGAGAGTGCTATAATAAAAATATCTATAATATTTTTTTTGCTTAATAGTGAACGAGCTTACGGTCTACCTGGTGTTAAGTGGTTGCCGGAGTCCACAGACATCAACAACGTAAATGACGCCACCCACCTTGAGAAATGTGTTTTATGTCATAGTTTTATAGTTGAACGTCTGCCCTACCATTCAAAGCGAAACGCATTACTGCTTAACGGTAGAAATAGGCAGAGTGGTGGTACCTTTCCATGCGGATTCACAAGACGCCCTACCACCACTACACGCATAATATATTTTTTGCGGATTTCATATTTATTAAATGATGTTATTCCTTCACTGTGGGAGTCAATCGTAAGCATTTGTGCACTGTTTTTGCTAGGGTTTCTGTGAGCATATTCTATCAGTTTGAGCTCGTCAGCTCTCCTAACCCTTCGTGCATAGCTGGAATAGCCCTTTTAGGCTCACAGCGAACACGTAGGAAAAAATTACTGGTGGTAGGACCTCTTGTGCAAGAGCATCTCCGATATATTTTAACAAATTAAGGAATCTACATATTTGTCCAATTTCGGACAATGAAAAGTTTTTTTTTTCTCAAAGTCCGGTTTTCACGTTACAGCTTTTTTTTAAATATATTTAGTTTAAAAATTATATGGCCTTCTTGTGCCGCAGTATTTTAGTATAAAAAGGTTATTTTGTTTAACATGTGATTCTTAATCTTTATGCTCTAGCAAGCTTTGACCGTCTGAAATTCATACGAATATTTATCGTCAATTTATTGCACTAAGAATGGGAATTGGTTATTTTCAAAATTGTTTTTTTTTTTGCCATTATAATCATTCAAGAATACGGCCCATCTGCCTGTAAGCAGCCGACGTCTCTCAACAACAACAGCCAAGCCACTGCCCAAAAACGTAATTCTTACGACTTATTAATCAATGTGTTTCGTTCTAATGCGCTAGTAACATAACGTTTCTTTTTGTAACAGTACAACGGATGTTTTTTTTTGTGTGCTCCTGCGGGACAGATGTGGGGCAGGATATGGAGAAATTGCTCAATTTGAGACACGTAACGTTATATTCGTGAAAGTATCGAGTTTAATTTGTGTTGACAACGGTGACTTCACGAAATGCTTCAACAACAAAAAGAACATATTTAAATACTTCAGAATCTTAGGTTTAACGTTTGGACAAACTCATATCGTGTTGGTTGGGAATACTGTAGTCGTCATCAGTACCAACGCTGGTCATAGGTGCCCCCAAGGTTGGCCCAGCTCGTTGGCGGTCTACCCACGCTGTGTATTGCGGTGCGCGGCTGCCAGAGAAATTTCTAAGCTAAATATATTCGGGGATACTATAATACAACAATCAAAAGGGAATTCTGTTTATAAACTCACAGTTTAAAATTTTAATTCTTAGATTGCCAACACACAAATAAATCAGTACTTAGTGAACACGGGTTTAGATTACTCATATACCTACCATGTCGGTTTTTTATCGCGATCTAAAACCTAACAAAAAGGGGATCTTCAAACTAAATTTTCATTAAACTAATGGGGTTTCTCTCGGACGTATTAAACAGGATAGCTGGTTTGCCAGGACTACAAGACACATTCATATTTGAAAATGTGGAAGAGTTTGGTCCGTTACTAGATTATTGTCATTACGGCAGAAAAGCGGTCTTTATCACTTCAGTTAAACTTCTTCTTCTTACTCTAATCTCACAATATATGGAGTCGGCGCAGTATGTCCTTTTATCATGCTGCATATGGATTTAGCATGAGTGTTAGGATCAGGCGTCTGTCTGTCCAATCCACTACAAATATGTCTCTTAAAGCTTAAGACTTATTAAGGAATTCGTAACGTCTAATAATTTAAAATTCGACTAAGACAATTAACATAAAATAATGTATTAAAATAACTAGACTGAAGCAGCTTATTGATGATCTGAACTCGTAAATTATTTCTTTAATTAATACGTGCCCTATTCGGATGATGTTAGGGACAATTCCTGAAATAGACTGAGGGTTTCAAGGGCGCGGCTTGTGGCGCACGTGTGTCCGAGAATTTATATCTTTGAAGGGCTCTGAAGGGACGCGTTACGGAGTATAACTTTTCAAGTTTCACTCTTTACGATTTTGTAGTTCAAAGGTTAATATACAGATTTTTGTTTGTCTGATGATTTGACTTACCTTCGTTAAGCCACATTGAATTAAGTTATAATATAAGATAGGAGATTAGATTAAGCACGTTTGTTGGATGTTAAAATCAACTCTACTACGGTACTTTAAAAGTGACACTCCTAACAATGACCGGCTAAATAGAATGAGTGACTATCGCTAAATATTGCTGTGTATTTTCTTTTTAATTTCTTCATCACTATACATTTTCAATGAAGTCGTGGCATAGATTTGGATATCTTAACTAAATTGATTAAAAGTATTCCTCTTCTTGTTCTTGGTCTTATCTCACATTCTGTGGGGTAGACGCAACGCGTCCTCTTATGATGCTGCATAGGGATCTGGCATGAGTTTTACAATTGGTCGCCTATCTGAAGTTTTTTTTTTATTGCTTAGATGGGTGGACGAGCTCACAGCCCACCTAGTGTTAAGTGGTTACTGGAGCCCATAGATATCTACGACGTAAATGCTGCCACCCACCTTGAGATATGAGTTCTAAGGTGTCAGTATAGTTACAACGGCTGCCGCACCCTTCAAACCGAAACGCATTACTGCTTCACGGCAGAAATAGGCTGAGTGGTGGTACCTACGAGCGCGGACTCTCACAAGAAGTCCTACCACCAGTCAACCATTCCTTGGCTATATCTCCATAGGTGCTGTAGAGAGGGACTTTTTCTGTTTCTTCTTCTGTTGTTTCTTCCTTTTTTGTTTCTACGATTTGTATTTTATTATTATCATCATTTCCAAATACAAAACAAGAATCTAAAATTACATTATTATTATTACTATTATTAGTATGAAGAAAACGATTAAACAAAAGCAAAATTCATTAGGTAACACGTATTTACGAAATTCGAATGTCTATTTAACAGAAAAGGACAAGGAATATTTATTAATGGTTTGTGTTGGTCCTGCTGACGAAAATAGTATGCGAACGTGAGGGTGAGGACGAGAAACGTAACCATTTTAAAATTAAAACGGACACGGTGTTAAGAGGGTTTTC